CGGCTGCGGCTGGTGTCGTCATTCGGGCGATGCGAAGCTGCGCGAGACCAGGAGATACCGTCGGGGCGTTGACCCAAGGAACCCTAAATAAGGAACGAGGCCCCTTTTCTCCCATGAGTTAAGCTTCGACTTCCGATCGAAGACATGAGGAAAACCAGAGGCAAGCTGTGAAACACTGGAGGAACGCGGAGCCCCTCCCCAACCAAAGGGTTCCTTCTCCACGGCCCAAGGAACGATAAATAAGGAACGAGGCCCCTTTTTCCCATGTAGTAAACTCAGATTTTCCATGGGAAACCTGGGGAAAACCCAAGGAGCGCTGCAACTAAAGAACGCCGCGGAGCCCCTCCCCAACCAAAAGGGTTCCTTCTTCAGGGCCCCGACTGTACCTGGATTATCTCATGGGCCCAAAGTCACGGACGAGGCGTGGGAGGCCCCGACGAGGAAGCGGCAGTAGCGAGAACCGACGCGTAATCCAAGGGCCATGGGCTCCAACACCACCACGCCCAAGGAGCACAACGTCAAGGCCGTTCCGACCGTGATGTGCGTCGCCCAATCCGGACTCCCGCCGCGCGCTCTCGCGCAGGTCGAGAGAACGGCATCGTCAACAAGGTTCTGGGCGCTCGCCTTCCCCCCCCCTCCCCATCTTGTCCCAGACTCTCCTGGGAGTCGGCGACCCACTGTGTCTGTGTGCCTTCCCCCCTCCCGACGGAAGGGGGCGAGGGCCCGAGGCGCCGATGGCCCCGCCGAGAAGGCAGAGAAACCCGACGAGGGACGCCACGGAATGGTGCGAAGGCGACAGCCCTCCGCCGTTCTGGGTGCCATCCTCGTCGTCCTCATCGTCCACGGCCTCGTCCTCCTCCTCTTCTTCGCCCTCCTCGCCGTCGCCCTCGTCGTCGTCGTCGTCCTCGTCGCCGCCCTCGTCGTCGTCGTCCTGCTCCTCTTCGCCGCCCTCGTCGACGTCCTCGTCGTCGTCCTCGTCGTCGCCGTCGTCGTCGTCCTCGTCGTCCTCCTCGTCGTCGCCCGCCGTCGTCGTCCTCCTCGTCGCCGCCGTCGTCGTCGTCCTCCTCGTCGTCGCCGACTGTATCCTGCCCAGCCTGGGGACACATCAGTCTGACTCCGCCCAAGGAGCACAGCGTCAGGGCCGTTGCGACCGTGATGTGCGTCGCCCAATCCGGGCTCCCGCCCAGTCTGAGGAGGAGGAGGAGGAGGAGGAGGAGGAGGAGGAGTCTGACTGCTTCCCTGGAGGCGTGGGCGACCCAGGGCGGCCGTCGGGCCGCAGCTCGGGCCGCTAGAGGCCATACTTACCGTGACGATGCGGGCACCCCTCGCGAGACGCCTTCGACGAGCAGCTCCTCGGGCGTGCGGACGCTCCAACTACGGATTGCAAAAAAACCGAAGGATTGCAAACAAAAACCTTGGGTTTTTTTTGCAATCCTTGGGTTTTTTTGCAATCCTGCAATCCTTCCTACCAGCGAACCCCCCCGTCCAAGTCCAGGGGAGGGGGTTAGGGGGAGGGGCAAGCCCCTCCCCGAAAGGGATGAAGGAGGTTGGAAGAGGAAACTCCCGGAACCACCTACGCCCAGAGGGCTGGCGGGACTTCTCGGGGGTGCGGGGGGGCAGGGATCGTAGTGGGCCCTGGAAACGACAAGGCCGTTTTTTTTTGTTGGGGGGGGGGCACTCTGGAGGCTCCGAAGGGTCCTGGGGCCTGATGCATGCGGACGGTAAGATGACCACATGCCCGTGGCAGCCGACCAGAGGTGGACAGCTACCAACAGCAGCAGGACAAAGGAGCAACAGGGCGCACAGCCATCAGGACAAAGGAGTAACGGCCTTGTCGGAAACGACAAGGCCGCTTTTTAACGGGTTCCGTTTTGCCGTTTTTTTACCGGTTCCAACGCCGTTTTTTTACCGGTTCCGTCGCCGTTTTTTGACCGGTTCCGGCTCCTGTTCCCATCCTGGAGCCGTTTTTTTGCCGTTTCCGCTCGCCTTTTTTTGCCGTTTCCATTTTCAAGGGACATTTTTTGGGGAAACGGTGAAAAAATGGCCCTGCCGTTTCCGGGGCCCACAAAGGCAGGGATTAGGAGAAGAAGAAACGGCCTGAACATGAGCTTTTGGCGCCCCGCGTGAATTTCTTGGATCCGCGCTGGGCCCCCGCGGCGGTGCCTCCGGCGCCGCCCCTGGCGCGCTCCGCGCGCCAGGGATGGGGTTCCAGCGCAGATCCAACAAATCCGCGCGGAGCGCCAAAAGTTTATGTTTATGCGGTTGTTCTTCTCCTGTGATCGTTGGCACGATTTCTGGGCCAGCGTTGTCCGCTCACCCTCTCCCCCCCCATCGAAAAGGCAATCGCAACAGAGCAGCGCACTTCTGGCGCCCCGCGCGAATTTCTTGGACGCGCGCTGGACCCCCCTCGGGCGTTGGCAGAACTGGGTTTCGTGGGTGACGTGTACTCCAGATTTCGTAATAAAAGGGAGGGGGTCTGGACCCTCCAAGACAAGCCATTTCAGACCTCCCCCGTGGGAGAACCCTCCAAAACATCGTCCCCAGACCCCCCAGGCCCTCCAAGATAGCCTGGAAGAGACCCCCCCCCGAAATGAGACCCCCCTCCCTTTATTACGAAATCTGGAGTACTGGAGGACGCGCCCCCCCGCCACGTTCCACCAACCGGAACTGCCGTCACCCGAAAAAACACCAGCTGCGGCAGACCTGGTTTAGTGATTCTGGCCAATTTAATTTAGAAGCTCCGGGGCCCTACCATTAGGTCGGGTACGTATGTCCCAGTACAGGCGGATTCTGAACGAAAAATGCAGAATACCCTCACAATATCCAACAAATGCAAAAAATAATCAAAAAGTCGTCCCTGGACTATTTTTTGACGATCTTTGGGGACCCCTCCCTGTAGAAGGACAGGCCCGACTTCACCCTGCCACCAACCGGGTCCCCTTACCTGGGGTCCTGGCTATGCCCGAAGCCCCCTCCCTGGCGCGCGGAGCGCGCCAGGGGCGGCGCCGTGGCAAGACCCACCGCGGATACAAGAGATCCGCGCGGAGCGCCCCCAAAGTTCATGCTCGTGTTGCGTCGGGCATGTCCTCCGACAGGCGGATTCTGGACGAAAACTCAAAAACAACAAAAGAAATACCCCAAAAAGGTCAAACATTCGCCGGTCCAACGGGCAACTGGTTTACAATGTTCTAATTCGCCCGCGTGGGGCGGCCCCTGGGGGCCCTCCAACGAAAAGTACCAGGACAAGTCCCGGCAAGGTGAGGCGCAGAGATGGTTTTCCTTCTCGGCGCTGCCTTCCAAGATTTCCCGAGCGCCCCAGGAACGCTCCCAGAGAGCCCCGTAACGTGCTCCAGACGGTTCGAGGGTCCCTCGGTCGCTGCCAGACGGCTCAAGACGCCGCCAAGAAGCTCCAAGAGAGCCTCAGGAGGCTCTTCTAAAGAGCCTCAACAAGCAAAAAGTGTCCCATTCCCTACAGAAAACGTATTTTTGTGCGTAAGCGACGTTTCGAGGTCCAGCGCGTCCAACACTGCCCACGAGACCTTCAAGATCGCCCTCAGACGGCCCAACATATTCCCAACATGGGCCCAACACGGCCCAAGAGGGCCCCAAGACGGCCCACGAGGCCCCCTGGACGGCCCAAGACAGCCCGAAGATGGGCCCCATCGGGGGAACTCAAATTGAACTTTCCAGCTTGCCGACCCACACGATCGTCCCAAGACGCCCAAGATGGCCCCAAGACGGCCGAAGACGCCGCCAAGAAACCCCAAGAGACCCTCAAGAGGCTCTCCTAGAAAACCTCAACCAGCAAACAATAGCTCATTCTTTTCAGGAACAAAAAAAACATACGTTTTGCGCCTATACGACGTTTCGAGGTCCAGCGCGTTCAACACTGCCCACGAGACCTTCAAGATCGCCCTCAGACGGCCCAACATATTCCCAACATGGGCCCAACACGGCCCAAGAGGGCTCCAAGACGGCCCACGAGGCCCTCTGGATAGCCCAAGACAGCCCTGAGAGGAGCCCCATCCGACTGTTCCCTATTAGTATACACCCCCTCCCCCAGGCGACTTGGAGCCAACCCAAGTCCATGCGGCCCCCCCAACATCCCTTGTAACAAAACAATACAAAACACACCGTGCCCCCACCATCCCTCGTAAAAAAAACAATGCGAAACACACTGTGTCTCCAAATTCTCAGCATGCGCAGTGAACCCGGTGCGGCCTCCCCCCGCCCTGTCAACAAACCAATACAGAGTACACTTGGCGGCGGCGGCGGCAGCTGCGGCGGGGGCAGCGGCTGCAGCGGCGGCGGCGGTGGCGGCGGCGGGTGCGGCGGCGGTGGCGGCGGCGGCGGCGGCGGCCGGGGTGACGGCCGGCGGCGGCGGCGCGGCGGTGGCGGCCCGGACTGCGGCGGGCAGCGGCTGCGGCGGCGGCGATTTGGCAACGGGCGAGGCGGCGGCGGCGGGCGCGCGGCGGCGGGCAGCGCGGTGGCGGCGGGCAGCGCGGTGGCGGCGGCAGCGGCGGACAGCGGCGGCGGCGGCGGCGGGCGGCGGCGGCGGCGGCGGCGGATTGGCCCCCACTAGCTGGCCATCCAAAAACAAATGCTGCATATGCTGCGGCTCGGGCCAGGCTCGGGTGCTACGTATGTGTTGGGAGGGCGGGTGGGGGTGAGCGAGACGGCATGCGGGCGGGGAGGGGGACTCTTGATCACTGTTCCCTATTAATAAACACCCCCTCCCCCAGGCGACTGGGGGCCAACCCGAGTCCATGACAACACCCCCCCACCGCCTCTTGTAAAAAACAATGCAAAACACATTCTGCCTCCAAAGTCGGAACATGCGCAGCCAACCCGATGCGGCCGGCCCCCTCCGCTATCCCTGTCAAGAAACAATACAAAATACACTTGGCGGCGGCGGCGGCTGCGGCGGCGGCGGCGGCGGCGGCAGCGGCCACGTCGTCCTGGGCATTGCGTTGCATGCTGACTGACACTGCAGACGAGACCTCCTGGCCGATCACTGAATTCTTCATCTTCTTGCTGATGTCCCGCAAGCGCTCGGAAGACTGCACGCCGTCCCTGGCCCATCGCACGATCGACGGGCCTGGCGCTGCCAACTCGGGAGAGACCATGCGCGTCGCCACACACAGCTGGAGGAGAGAACATATCATCGAGAGCTCGCTCACGAACTTGCGCGACTTGAACTTGTCATCGAACGCCTTCAACACCTCGTGCGCGCCCACCAGGTCCGCAGAGATGCCCTTCACCTTCTGAGTGATGTCGTCCTCAGTGGCTGCGCCGTCCTCATCCAAACCAATGTTGACAAAGTACATGCTAAACAAGCCGTTCATCCACATGTCCAGCGTGTTCGGGTCGGCGGCGTCTGCGACGGCAGCAAACACTGGATCAGCGTTCAGCGCAGTGAGGGTATCAAGGAAGCTCTTTGGCTGCCGGCTCAGCTTTAGGTAGACTGCCTTACTGGCGATCGAGATGAAGGACGGGTGCGGCTGTATGTTCATGCAATCACGCAACGTCTTTGCGAGCTCAGGCAACTCTTCTGACATGGCAACCGTGTTGGCGTAGGTCTTAGACTTCTTGAAAGTCCGATGCTGCTTCAAGGCCGTCTTGGCGCCTGTCAGAGTACGTGTCCACCTGTCGATGGTATCGACGAGGTCGCCCCTGGACTCCGAAACAAAAGCGATCCTCAGCTGACCCAGCTTGCCCAGCAAGGGCGTGATCATCGACTCCTTCGCGACATCGGACCAGTTGACCTTTGAGGGCAGCTTGCAACCCCGTCTCTAAACAGGGTCGGGAGACAGCGTTGGTCCTGGATCTCAGACTGAACCGAAGGGTGGGGGATGGGCCAGGGTGGAGTGGTTGCTATACTCAGGGGATGAACGCTGCTCCCCCCCCTCCTCCTCCTCCAACCTCCTCCATCGCCGTGGTGCCTCCTGCCGCCTGCCTCCCGTCATCCTCCAACGATCAGCCCACCTTCGCCACTTGCGATCCGCACTCGCTCCTCACATCCCTCCTGGATACACCTCCTCCTGCGTTGTACCACGCGCTCACCTGTGAGAACACCTCGAACGTCTTGATGATCGCGGCGAGCTGCGCATCCAGCATGGCGACCCCCGGGTCCTGCTCGAGAACCCTGCCTGCGGCGCCAGCGCGGACAATCACTGAGTCCGCCTTGGCGGCCCCGTCGAACGCGGCCCTGCGCATGTCGACATCCGCCTCGGAATGGCTGAACATGGGCCTGATGAGCTTCGCGGTCGCGTCGAAACTGCCGAGGTCGATGTGGAAACAACCAACGTCGGAGACGGCCTCGATGGCCGTCTTGAACACGCCGAGGCTGCACTTCCCGTCGTCGCCCCTGATCGTGACCAAGTTCTCGGTGCTGCCGCCGTCTGCAATGCATTTGGCCAACGTCTGGATGACGAACGGCTGGGTGGACATGCGCAAGATGTTGAAGAGGCACTTGATGACCCCCACCCTGGCGCCACCTGCTGTCCTGGAAATGCGGCCGTCACGGATCTCGTAGCGGAGGCTGATGTAGGCAACGAGGTACACGCTCCATTTTGCTCTGCCATCCTCAGTCTGCAGGCGCGCCCTGAAAGCGACAGGGGTCTTAGTCTCAGAGAAGAACAGCCTGTAGCACCCGTGACAGTCCTTGCACCACGGGCCGCGCCCGTTGGGGAAAGCCCAAGGCGTCTTCGCACCAGCGTTGAAGAAGCACTTCCCATCCCGAGTCCTGTTGCAACCAGGGCACGGCTGGTCATCACTGTCGGTGCCAGATTTGCCGGGAGACCCGCCATCGCCATCCGCGCCAAGCGCCATCATGACTGACTGAGTGTCGGCCCCACCGTCGCAACCGCATTCGTCGGACATCCGCAAGCGCCTCCGTTTCGATCGACCGCTCGGGATGACAGACGCCACCTCAGACAATGACAGCTGACTGTCCTCAAACAAGGAGGTGAAGTCACGTGAAATGCTAGCGGTAACAACCGAATCAACGCCAGAAGAATTGGACGCCACGTCGAGCCCGCAACTGGTGCGACGCGGCGCCCGCTTCGGCCTCGCAGGCCAAGGCGCTGCTGGCGGTGGCAAGCTCGCAGCGTCGTCCATCGCAGCGGGCTCGGACTCGTGGAGGCTCATTGCCCCTCAAGGCAAGTCGCGCAGCGCGGGAGCTGCGACGACGATGGCGTCCTGATCGCCTGGTCGCCAAAATGGCTCGAATCCGAAATGGCGGCGGGGGGGGGCGAGGAGGACGAGGAGGGCGACGGCCAGGTATCGAACTTCGGGCCCCCGAAAGGACCATAGGCCACAATAGCTTACAGAAGCCCCAGTAAGGCCGCGTCAAAGCGGCGAGCATGCACCCCAACAAATCCCCAAGACACCAAGGCTGCCAATGATGGCGCCCGCTGGACCCACAACCCAAGCACCACGCCAACTTACCCACAACCCAGGCCCGACAGTATCCAACGCAACCTTGGCCCGCACCCCGCGTCCAAGGGACGGCGGCATACTTGGCAGAAGAAAAACCTCTAGTTCGCAGCACCGCTTCGGATCAAGCTTGAGGGTCATGCCGAACCCTCTCACAACATCAAGCCGCCGACAGACCAATGGCGCAGGCACGGAGGCTGGCTGCTGTGGGGTCACCAATCGTGACATCACCCACGCCCCCCTGACACCTAATATCAAGCTGGCGCCGCGTGAAACATGCACTGGCTCACGCCGTTGCGTGATGCTGAAATGGCCCTGGGCCCAGAGTACCACCCCCCGCGCACTTTTCAACAGGCATCCCTTCACCCTTCCCCATCATCTCCTTCTCCTCCTCCGCACCATCATTCCTGACCTCCTCCACTCTTCATCCACCTCCTCCTCCTCCAGTCTGGTCGTCCTATATTTCTGCTCTGCAGCCGTTTGGATCTCTGCGGCCCCGAGAACCATCAGACGGTCCGAATTTTCTGATGTGCAACGGCTCTGATCATGCTATCGGTAGTCTTTGCCATGGGCCTCTTGTCTACGCGGGACAATCAAGCCTAAAGGGGGTGAGGCAACGCAAGATCGCTGGGCGAAGACCCTGGGGGGGGAGGAGGAAGCCGACTCGGAGGAGGAGGGGGAGGGGATAACGAGGACACGCGGACGGCGGGAGGATGGAAGGCGAGGAAGGAGGTGGTGGAGGAGGAGGACTAGGAGGAGGGATGGCGAAGAAGAATGAGGGACACGAGGAGGATGAGGACGACGACGGAGGAGGACGAGGAGGACAAGCTGACAAATACGAAGGGTGAGGGTGGGAAGGAGGGCGACGACGAAGAATGAGGATGACGAATGACGATGGGAAGATGGAAGAGGATGAGGACCGATGGGAGGGGTGGCGACGAAGGCCACGACGATGGGGGGCCATCTCTGGGAATGGCCAACGCCGATTTTATATTACAAAATGCTCCAGGCAAGCAGCGTGCTTTAAATGCGGGCTGCAAGCTTCATGGCCACACGACTGCGGCAAGAACGACGCCGCAAAGCTGGCGTCTGTCGCCAGTCACACGGATCAGGCGAGCAGGCTGATCAAACGGTACAGGCAAACAAGACTGAGCACACTGGGCTGACAAGAGCGTGCCTCACTGTGCACACACGGCAAACTCGGCAGACTGCGATGCTGCCATCTGTCACACTCGGCAATCTGAGATGCTGCCGCCTGGTCAATCAACCGTGACCTGGTTCTTGGCCTTGCCCGCCGCCGTGACGGCCTCGGTGCCGACGTCCTTCGTGGAGTCGAGGTCGCCGCTGGCACTGGCGGCGGTCTTGGTGTTGGCACGGGCGCGCGGCTTCTTAGCGGCTGAACTGGTCTGCTTGGCCGCCTTCATGGGGTTGGGTGTCTTGCTCTTGGCGGCGCTGTTGCCGTCCTGGCCCCGCTGCTCCTTCGGGATGCAAGCTGCTGGGTTTGGGGTGTGCTGGGAAGGCCTCGGCACCGAACGAACCGCGCTGTGCTTCTGGGTGCGCTTGCGTTCGAGTTCAGCCGCCTGTGGGCACACAGCCGCCACCATCTGGCAGATCTCGTGCAAGCCCTGCTGGATCTGCGTGTCCCTCTTGCGCTGCTCGACCCGCTCCAAGAATTCCCTCCGCTGCTTCTCTTTTGTCTTGCGCTCTGTCTCCGTCCTGCCTCTCAAGCGTGTCGCCATGCGTTCCAGAGCATTGGCTGTGCGCCGCAGCTCGTTGTCTTTGCGCCTGAGCGCAGCACGACACTCTTTCTGTATTGCCTTCGGGTCGGGAGGCGCCATCGCCTTCGGCGCCATCGAAGAGCAAGAGCAAATCTGCGGCAGCGTGAAGAACTGAAACTGGAAGACACGGATCGAAAGCCGAAGCGGGACTCTGGGCCAAGGCGGCTACAGCGCAAGACACTCAACAGGAACTGGTTGGCGCGGCCATCCAAGGCCGAATAACAAGAGTGCCAAGTGGAGGGAGAAAGGGAGAAACGGGCAGAACGGATGAGGAGGACAAGGATGAGAGATGAGAGGAGGGAGAAAAGAGAAGGACATCGAAGAGATGGAAGAGGGAAGAGGGATGACAAGGACAACGAGGAGGGAGGAGAAGGAGGAGACGGCAAACGAAAGCACTGGACTCCTGGGAGCCCTTAGAGCTTTCAACCCCTTGAGCCCTGAAAGGCCATGGCCCCCCATGGGCCCATGTGGAACCCAGGGCCGCGCGGGCAGGGCCTGCGGGGTTCCGGGCTAGCCCAGAAACCTGCGGGCCCCGCACGAGAGGTCCTGAACGCCTGGTGGGGCGTCGGGTCCCTGAGCCGCGTTGGCCTCGCGGGGCCGTCGGGCGCTTGGCGGCCAGTCGGCTTTCAGCTGGGGAACCCTGGGCCATTGGAGAACGCGCGGGGCCCTGGGAGGCCCTTGGCCCTCTGGAACCTGGAGCCTCCCAGGCAGGGCCCGCGGGGTTCGGGCTAACCCAGAAACCCGCGGGCACCGCCAGAGAGACCCTGATCGCCTGGCGTGGCCCTGAGCACAATCTGGCCTCGACGGGCCGTCGGGCTTCTGTGTCGGGCCCAGCAGAACACCGCTGAAACCAGCGGGCCTCAGATAAAGAGGCCGTGTGGCGTTAGGCACGAACACGCTAGAACCTTATGCGAAACCCTGAAGCCATGCGCGGACATAGGCCCATAGTCACTGGGGGCTTCGCCCTGAGCGCGCGCGCACACACTGAAACCCTAAGCCGCTGAACTCTACGGCAGCCCCGCTCATGCTCAATGCGGCGACCATTCGCCACAATGGAGCACCCAAAGGTCGAACGCACATGGTTTAAGCACACATGCCCACATATATAACATGGAATATATGCTGCACGTAATAGTCGACTCTCAGGGGAAACGCGCATCGACGGCCAAGGGGGCACGGTGGTGGAGTAATCGGCAAACAAAAAGCTGGCACCCTATACCCAAGCATATTTCACAACGGCGCATCATTGATAAACTAAATTTTTGTTTTTAAAAAGCCATTGCGCCACTCTCGTTCAAAGCTGCATGGGCGGAAATGCGGAGGCGGCGGGGAGCAAGCGAGGTTGCGCGCGCGTGGCGCAGGGGAACGGTTGGCGGGGGATGGGCAGTGTGCGCGGGTGCAATGGTGACATATTGGTGCGGTGCGGTTTGTTGTTGCTGGTGGTTGTCGTAGGCGCGGGCGGACAAAGCAAGTGCGCATGGACGGGGGTGGAGTAGGTGGGCGGCTGCATGGGGTGACGCGTGCGGGCGCAGCGGCGGGTAAACTTAGCAGCGCGTGTCCATGGTCGCGAACTAGAAACCAGCGGCGCGCGGCGCGCTGCACACTCATGCCACGGAACAAAGGCCATGCACGGCACCAAACGCACGCACGAGCGCACCCGTCCGAAACATGCATGGCCGACGGCCAACAACCAAACGCCCCACGTTGAACGCACCATGGGTAGCGCGTCGGGCGCGCGGCCCGGTTTTTTTCACGACGGTTCGACGAGCGCTTTGGCAGTATCATGCGTATTGCACTGCAAGCGTCACCAGGCAACGGCAGAGGGCACAACTATAGAGCTTGGGGTTGGTGCCGCCAAGGGCAACGCCACCAAAATCCAGTCGAGCGCATCAGCTTCGCTACCGCCGCCCAGACGTTGGGCTGCGACTTGCGGGCGAAGAATGGATATGAGCTGAAACCGCGGCCCGCGGGCTTCGTGCCCATGAAGTGGGCCGCGCGCGGTTCAGTGGTAAGAGCGAACCGCCCTCCGATGGTTGCGCGAGGGCCGAGGCCCCGAACTAATGCTCGCGCGCCATCGCCGCTGCATTCTCCAGTCCGCGCGCGCGACATTGCCCATGCGCGACCACAAACCGCCACCGCCGCTCACAACTCCAAACCTACCACCACATCCGCCGCACTGCCTACCACATCTTTGGCCCCACCACCACAGCGCGCCCGACCGCAGCCATCGCCATCGCAGCCTGCCCAGTTCATACCCCATCACAAACAACTTACACATGCACGCGCGCGCGCCGCTCACCCGCAGATTCCCATCCACTCGCCACGGCCAAGTTCCTACCCACGGCCTATCGCCAACACCCCTCACCTGCCTCCTCGGCAAAACACGCGCTCACTACTCCTTTAAACGCGCGCGCACCGCCCGCGGCTGCAACTCCCTGCAAACAACCGCCACCATCCACCACCAACCAGCGCGCGACACGCGCGCAACCGCGCGCACAACGCTTACCGCAACCCGCCGCCCCCCACCCACATGAGCGCCCGCCGTTGCCACCACGCCCAAAACCTTCGCCCGCGCCCACTACGCCCACCTCCCATCCCTCCACACCCACCCCACCCACCACCAACACCCCGCCCGCCCACCCACCCTCACCAACCACTGCCGCCGCC